AAAAAAAAAAAAAGAAATAATACTATGAACTAACAGATAGAGCTGATTGAACTTTTGCTGATTGTCCCACTGTTGGCCATTTTCTGGTCCACAATCCAGTATTACATTCAATGCCATGTCTTAATTGAAACAGTTCCTGTCTTTTGTGTTTCATGACCTTGATGCTTTCAAAAAGTACTAGCCAGCAGAATTTCCCAGTTTGGGTTTGTGTGAGGTTTCCTCATGATTAAAGTATGGTTATTCATTTTTGTCATGTGGACAATAGAGGTATGACGCTTATTTTGATCCATAGTTAAGGTGGTGTGGGCCAGGTTTTTCCAATATAAGATTGCCAATTTGTCCTTTGTAGTTTAGTAAGTAGCTTTTATAGGGGAGGTAGTAAGTAGCTTACGGGGAGGTGCTCTGAAACTACATATATCCAACCACTGATGATTTTTGCCTAAAACAGTTTACTATGCTGATTCCAAAAGGTGATTTTTGAACACATTCTTTCCTTCTGCATTAGCTAGTTGGCATTCTTTTATAAAGAAAAATTTTCCCTTTTCCCTCATTTATTCATATTGGTAGGAATTTATTAATTACTCTTAATCAATGGCCTATAATTCATAACTACCATTATTTATTTTGAAGTTCAAATTGTCCCACATTTTGCCAGTAGGAGCCCCTTCATAATGACTTGTGTCATTTAGACAATTTTCCATCATATTGAGTATTTCCTTACTTCCTGCCACAAAAATATGTTCGAGGCTCATCTTCTATTTTTCTAATTTCCATGTATGTAACAAGCCACATATTTAATTGCTTAATTGCTATCTTAAAAATTAAAAAGTGTTTCATCTTAGGCCTTTTTCTCAACTTAATATTTTATAAGTTTCCAGGTATAACAAAGTTAGAATTATAGAAAACAAATTTCTCTAAGCATGTGGCTGAGGAGGGGAGAAAAGAAAAAAAGGAGAAAAAGAGAGGAAGCCTTCTTTCTAGGATTTCCACTTGGACTGGGCATTGGGCTATAATAAGTCCCATATCTGTGTGTTGGGGGGGCTTATTATTATTTTTTTTAATAGAATATGGTATTTAGAAACTAAGACTAGGGTACATTGTTTCTGATGTGCCATTGATTCTAGGCAGACAGCTAAGACATATATGCATATTTAAACATACATTAACATGCCAGTGTATTTTTATGTATCTGTTTATGTGTTAAAGACCTTAAGTTCTCCTTCATATCTACAATTCCAATTCAGGGTTGCAAGTTCTTTCAAGCCTCACTTGCTTCTTTGACAGTTGCAAGTATGAAGAAGCTTCCATTATGTTCAGCATGTTAATTTCTTTTGCTCCTTCCCCTGTATATAACAAAAGCTGCTAATTACATTTTTGTCCCTGTACACTTTCACTTAACTCTCCTGCCACTTTCACTTAACTATTTGTTCAAAAGGGAAAAGAGGGGAAGAAGATGAGAGCAACCACAAGGATGCTTATAGTTCTAGGAGTTAGTAATTTTAATACAATCTGCAATTGACTATAGGCATTTATTTTTTTTTTAATTAAAACAATGAATTGTTCAAAAGAGGGTCTTGCCTGAAAGCTGTGCTATTATGTAAAATTATTTTAATTGCAAGTTGTAGCATGTCAGTGCAGCAGTTTGAGCTTTAAATTATTCCTTTTGAAGTTAAATCATGTGATTCCCACAGACTTAGGCTCATCCACTTCCATGAAGTTTGAGTTCTACTCAGTTTTACAGTTCTACACAAACTCTCTTGTACTAGGAGGGAACAATCCAAAAAGCAACTCTTAACACACTTCTTTAAGTTTTATTTATCTTTAGCAAAGTGAAATTGGTTATCCTACACAACTTGTTGATTATATATTAAAATTAGGTTAGAGTATCTATTAGTTCAAGAAATCTAAATAATAAGTTAAAGTTGGCCCTCCCTGGTGACGCAGCGGGTTAAAGCATAGCGCTAAGAAGCTAAAGCCACTTCAGCATGAGTTCGATCCCGCCTGCCCTGGAGTTGACCACATGGCGCGGCAGACCTCTCCCGGCCCGCCCGCTGCTCCCCTCAGCAGTGTACTTCCTCAGCCAGCCTGTTCTGCTCCCCACTCTGTCTCTGGTGAATCCTCTCAACACCCCTACACCTATGGTCTGTACCCCAGCTCTGTATGTATAAATAAATAAATCTTTAAAAAAAAAAAAATAAGTTAAAGTTTCTGTCCCATCCCTACTCAGCTCATGCAGCATCAAGCCCAGACACCACAGCGGGCTGTGGCAGCCATGCTGTCAAGTCTTAGTTCAGGGCTCTGTCACTTGTGCGACCCCAGTCACCCAGCCCCACTCAGCCTCTTTTTCTTATCAGACTGATGCAGTCCTCTGGAGGATGTTTGTCTGCTTCCTGGCTGCTCAGAGTGATTGGGAACAGGGGTGATATGCTGAGCACCTTGCCCAATGCCTAGTTGGCTGGTCCGAGAAAGAATGCTTCCTTTCTTTCTCCTGTTCTTCTGTTCACCTCTCTTCAGCCACATTTATACATGCTTAGAGTAATTTGTTTTCTATTATTCTAACTTTGTTACTCTTGGAAATTTATAAAATACTAAGATGAAAGGAGGCCAAAAATGAAATAGAATTTATTTATTTATTAAGATAGCAATTTCGATTTAACTTAGAACTTGGCTGAAGTGGGAAGATACTTTTTACTTTCCTTTTAACATTTAAAAATCCTTTAGCTGTTAAATTCTAGATAAAAGTGTAAAGCTGTTAGTAATGGTGTTTTAAAACAAAATAGATTTTAGATTTTATAAAAATTGGTTGAAATTTATTTGAGTGTTTGCTTTCATTGTGAATAATGACACAAGGTTAAGAAATGCTATCTAAAATTCTGCTATCTAAAATTCTGGCATAAAGGGTATTTTAACATTTTAGGTGTTTGAAGATAGAACAAAGTTCGAAAGGTATTTTAGAATACTTTGAAATAAAGAAGACTCTATTTGTTCTTATGGAGCTGTTTAATTTTTGCAGCTTTACTGTATTGGCAAATGTCTCCAAGTATTATTTGTGCCATTTATCCTTTTTAAAGAAATTTTCCTTTGGGTAGAGAGATTGAGCACCTTGCTTGTGATATATGCTCATCTGTTATGGGATCAGTGATAGAGGGCAGAAAATCTCTGGAGTGTTCAGCTGGGTGTCTAGATATTCACAGTCAACACTCATGCCAGTAAATTTCTCTGGTTACTCATTCTTCTCTCCCATGGTAATGAACTTTATGCCTTTTGGTCTACTAGCTAGGATCAACATTTAGGGTCAACATTTAGGGTCCAAGTTTTCATTTTTATAAAAGAAGTTTTTCTCCCTTGTGCGTCTCTCTCTTGAGATTTATTATTAATCTTTCAGGAGACAGAAGATGAAGTATTTCTTGCTATTGCTAAAGCCATGGAAGAGATGGTAGAAGATAGTGTGGACTGTTATTGGATCATCCGATGCTTTGTGAACCAGTTAAATAACAAATACCGGGAAACTTTACCTCAGCTGGTAAGGGATACTTTTTTTGGCTGCTGGGTGATGGGATGAGCAGTATTTGTGGCGATCCCCAGGGTATTCTCTTTTGCTTCTGCTATAATTATGAGTAAATCCTTTGTGGGAATGCCTGTATGTACTTTCTGTGAAAGATAAAATCGTAACTATTTCCAGCTTGGTGGATCAGATGTATCTATTATAACCACTCAGTTCTGTTTTTGTAAAATAAAGCTGCCATCAGAAATACATAAAATAAATGTAGTATTCCTTATCCTGGCCCAGCATCCAAGGGCTTTATCTAGAATATCTCTTGGCGATAGATGCAGTTTAAATGTGACTGATCTAACAGGCAGCTCAAATAGCAAAAGTTTTGTTACTTTCTTTCATGTAACCAGAAGTTCAGAGCTGATATCATAGTCCATGTTAGTGTTAGTGTGTTAGTGAAAGGGACCCAGGCTTCTCTTGGCTCTTCTGTATTCTTTGATTTGCTCCCTTCTCATGCTCCCATGATGGATGTTGGGGTGGAAGTATGACATCTCTGTTCTATGCATGCAGAACAGTGTGCCTAGAATGCCTTTCCAAGCAAGGATTACCTTTTTATCCCATTGACGGGACGAGTAGAATGGAAATCCAGTCAACCCTGTTGTAACAGACTTTCCTTCTGCATAGCTGTTAGTTCAGAGGAAGCAGGGAAATGTGTTTTTTTTTAAAAGACAGACACATTGTGATCTGCCATTAAAATGTGATTCTGTTACCAAGGAGGAGAGTAGCTGCTGCCTGCCATACTCTGATTTGGGAATTCAGGGATCTAAATGGCACTTGCTTTGTTAGCACAGCCAGAGTCTTTTGCCATTCTCTGTTTTCAGTTTTTTTTCATAATGTCTCATTTGTAAAATGAATTTATCTTTTTCCCTTAAATCATTGATTCTTTTCATTTGAAAGTTCTGTTCAAGGCAGTAAGTGTGATACAGGGCTCAGGGCCACACACAAGGCCCTGGTGAAGGCTGGATGAGTCCTGAGGCTCATTGCTCTGACTGTATCAGCTAGCACAGTTGGCAGCATCCTCCAGCTTCATAGAGTACAGTACAAGAGTGTAGGTACACATATAAACTTTATTTTTAGAATTTAAAAATTTAGTATACTTAGTTGATTTTAATACATTTAATTTTTAAGCATGGCATTATGGCACACATAAATACAATGGTGAGCCACCTTAAAAGGTCTCAATTATGTTATCATTTATTTTGTTTTTCTTAGCATTGCTATATATTCTGTAGCAAATTGATAGCTTATGTTTCAAAAATTATTTTTGATAACAATAGATCATATATTCTTAATACAGGAAATACAGGTGAATACAATGTTCTCTTAGAACATTGTATTAATAGCTCCCAAACCCTACTTCCTTTTTTTAAATATTTATTTATTATTATAAATAAATACACCTCTGGGATACAGGTGAGAGGTGCAGAGGTGAGGAGAAGATTCACAGAGACAGAGTGGGGAGCAGAGCAGGCAGATTGGAGTATAGAGACAGGAGAGGTCTGCACTCTGTGCGTCAGCTTCCATGCTGGGGATTGAACTCGTGCTGTGAGGCAGCTCTGACTAGCTTCACAGTGCTATGCTTTAATCTGTTGTAGCACCAGGGAGGGCCCCCAACTCCTGCTTTCTAAAAAGTAGACATTGTGGTCAGCTATGTGTTAAGGTGGATGGGTGGGTGTCTCTGTGGCTGTGTATGTGGGTGTCTGCCTGTACAGGTATATCCATATACACTTTATGATTTCACGAGCAGTTTACATATACATGATTTTTTTAAAAACACATATTGTCACACTATCTTATCACTCTACATTGTTTTGGTTACATTTTTCTTTTTCTTTCTTTTTTTTCAGCCTAATGTTTTAGAGCATTTAAAAATTCAGTACAGATACATCAGTAGTTTTTAGCCCCAACACTTTATTAATAACACTTGGTAGATTTAAAAAAATTACCAGTAACTGCCCTTTACCCAGATTAAGTAAGTCAAAATCTCGGGAATTCTCTGGAGTAGGAATTCTAATTTTTTAAAAGTTCTAGGTGACTCTAAAATGTGATTATGTGGTTCCACCCATTTGGAACCACTTTTGTTGTCCATACAGATAGACAGCTTGCCTTTGTATGTGCTCTTTTTGTTAAATCATGATCAGTACCTGTAGAGTGAATGCATGGTTGAAAGAGAGAGATTTAAATTTTTGTAATAGCTGGTTGCTCACCTAAAGCATACACATTTTATACTTCACCCCATAAATGATGAGAATTCCTGTTTTTCACCCCATTGTCAATACTTGATTATATCAATCACTTACATTTTTGTTCATCTGATAGTGAGATGGTTTTGATTTACATATCCTAAGTTTCCAGTGAAGTTGAACAACTTTGCATGTTTATTGGTGACTTAACTTTGTCCATCTTTCTATTATTTCATTTGCTCCTCTTATATTTGTGAATTACCAAAATGCACTAGGTACTTATCCTTCCTCTGTTACATATGTTGAAAATATTTTCTCCCTGTATGTTTTACAAAGATTTTAAATTTTGCTACAATTGTTCTGTTGATACTGTTTCTTTGCTTTTTCTAGCCCCAACAAACAAACAAAAATCAGAACAGTCTTCTAAATTTTTAAAACAGTTTAAAATTGAGTCCTTTAATTTGTCTTTAACCCGTGCTTTGTGGCTTATAGCATGGCCAGCCAGTGTACTACTGCCCCTCCTGTTTACCTCTATGATATTGAGAACATATTTCATACCAGGCAATGGCAAATTTGTTTTTATCGAAATACATCACCTAAACACATTTTTCTGTTTTTACAGATGAGGAAACTGAAGCACAGAACAATTAAGTGAGGTCTTAAGGTCACATAAGTAGCAGTAGAACTACTGCCTACACTATAGGTCAATTCATCCTTTTTGCCACTGATTTGAAATTCTACTATCATAGATTGTCACGTATATTTATATCTCTATTTGAACTTCTGTTTTGTCTTGGAACAATGCTATATGATTTATCTAATATAATTTTCTGACTATTCCCAGAGCTAATAAGGAAAGGTTCCTTTTATTCTTTTCAAAAATGCCTTGGATTTTATTTTTAGAAAGGGCTACTAGAATCAGCCAGATAATTAATGGACATATATCCTATAAGTATTATGACATCATTTTCTAAAAAAAGGGGCTGGTATGCCTGTTAATAGTGCCTCTTAAGTAATGAAGAATGAATTTTGAATTCTTCTGAATGTGTTAGATTTCCTTTGTGGTGGTTGATTTTACTTCAACTTTTCTCTTTAGTTAAGCTGTGTTTTTATTACTGTTTTGTAGTGAATCTCTCCCTCCTAAATTATTGTTAAGTAGAGTTTTTTATGATCTTTTTATGATTTTTTTATGGTATGTTTAGTATGGATTATATTACAGCTTTTCTTCTTGAAAACTCTTGGAAATTCTATTCTTTGATGAGTCAGTTCATTGCTAAAAGATTAGAAGTTAACTTCAGTCTTATGAGATGGACAACTTATATTGCTAATCTCTCTTTTGATCACTTTGTTCTTAAGCCATCACAGACTTAATTGTATTTACTCGCTAAAGCAAGTCAGCTTTCTTTCATTGCTACTACTGTGAAGGGGAAGGTTGTCCTAGAGGAACTCTGCAGAGTCTTATGGACTCCACTCCCTACTCCAGCTTTCTGGACCCTACACCCTACTCCAGTGATTGGAAACTACAACTCCCCAGCAGCACCAGGGAGAGAACTACGAGGACTTAAGGGTTGAGCTAGCAGGAATTCTGGGACATTTGGGGGATAAATAGGGCGCAGTTGCATCTCACACGCTCTCGCTTGGGAAACGGCTCTCCAGACCACGTGACTCGTTGTGTTCAGTCAGCCTAGCCGTAAGATATTCCAGCTGTAGGGTAATGTATCCCGCTCTCTTTCCCTGGGCTGTTTCCTATTCCTTTCCCCTTTTTTAAATAAACCCATTATTGACCCTTTTGTGTGTACCTGTAGTATAACTGAGTTGTGACAGACAGGCGGCCCAGTCCACTCTGGGCTACTCTGTAACTCTACTACAGTTTTAAAAGAGTTATTAGTTGTTGTTGTTGTTGTTGTTATTTTTAGATAAATACTACTAGCAACCTCTTCCTAAGTTTAATATAAATTCTTCTCGGTGGTTAGGTTTCCTTTTCATCAGGTTTTGTTTGTTGCTAATGAGGTAAGCTTTATTTTCTTTACAGGGTCTTAAAATATTGGAATAACATCTGTTTTACAATAAACAATACTTATATAAAAATCACATTTACCATTTTTATCATTCATTGTATACTAAACATTTCAGACAATGTAAATACTATCTCCTTCCACTAAAAAAAAAATCATGTTTTTGTATTTGTTGTCTTTCTTAGATTTAGCAGTAGCATATGATACATGCTTTTCTCTGTGCTGCACTCTTCATCCGATTTATCTTGGAAAACATGCCATATTTAGACATTCCTTTTCCTTACTTGTGACTGTATGCTACTCCATTTTGTATGTGTGTGTGTGTGTGTGTGTGTGTGTATCTCCTTTACTGAACCTCTCTTGTATTGGCCATTTGGCACATTTCAGTCTTGCTGATATACGTGGTACAACACTCACTATAAGCAAATTGCTTTTATATGTCAGTTTATTTTGGGGAAAGAAATCCCTAGAAATGGATTTATTAGATCAAAGGATAAATGAATGTTATTTTGCTAACTATCTCTAAGTTCCCCTTCATAGAACTCATACTTTTTTGCATCCTTATGTCCAGTACTTGAACCTGTTTTTGTTACAACCTTGTTTGGACTCCTGTTTTTTCTATTCTTGGGCCAACACTATTTAATTTATCTAATAAAATTTCCTGACTATTTCAGTAGCTGGTAGAGAAAGGTCCCTTTTATTATTGTTCTTTTCAAAAATGCCTTTTGTACAGTCTGGTATGTCATTTTTACTACTCTGATAGTTGAGAAATCACAGCCCGTTGTTTTTATGTTGCCTATCTTTTATTATAAATAAGATAGAATATATTTTCATATGGATAAAATGACTGGCCTGTGGTAGAGGCCAGAGATGCAGGGGGCAGTGAGAGGATACATCAGAGACAGAGTAGGGAACAGATCAGGCAGATTGACAAAGTACACTGCTAAGGTGAGCAGCGGCCAAGACAGGGAGGTCTGCCACACCATGTGTACTAAACATGTGTACTAAACATTGTATACTAAATATTTCAGACAATGTAAATGTTATCTCAGTCCCTCTGGGGCCAGGGATTAAATTTGCACTGAAACTTCTGTGGCTTTTGCAATGCTGCACTTTAACCAGTTGCACCACCAGGGAGGACACTGTTTCCTTTTTTTTTTTTTTCTATAGAGTTTTCTCCTTTTCTTTACTTCTAGAAGCTTTTTTAATTCTCTATTTCTAGAAGATCTTTTTATTTAGGGGTATTTCCTCATTAAGGTTGTTTGTGAACCTGGGCAAATGCCCAGAAAATGTTGATGGCAAAGAGCAGAAGACTAAGTTGTATATTCCATATATTTTAGTAATCAACTACTAAAAGTTTGTCTCATCTATATAGGGAGATAAATGGCTGCTATACTTTAGGTTGTATAAACCTAAATATTATCATTAGTCATCTTTAGGTAGTGTGATTATAAGTGATATTTAGGTTCTTTATTTTTCCTGTGTTCTCAATATCTTATGTTAAGCATACTTTTGAGAATGAAAAAAATATTTATTAAGACTGACAAGAAAGATGTATGAAGGTGCTGCTTAGTGTATTTAAATATTTCATTTAATTCGTTACTCATTTAGTCACTTAACAGTTATACATTGTGTGCTTACTATGTCGGATAATGTAAATTCAGTCATTGTCCTTGCTGAGATCATAGTCTAAAAAAAGAAAAGGACAATAAATAGTTTAAAATTTCATTTATTTGAATCCTGTTATTTGTACTAAGTTTTGGGTGAAATTTTCTTTATTGTGAGACATAATATATTAACGTATAATGCATAATATATGAATGTGTATAGGGGTGTTTTCATCTTTGCCACTTGTGAAATAAATATTCCATTGATGGGCCCTCCTTGGTGGCGCAGCAGGTTAAAGCACAGCACTAAGAAACTAAAGCCACTTCAGCATGAGTTCGATCCCCACCCTGCAGTGATCTACATAGTGAGGCAGACTCTTCCTGACCCTCCCACTGCTCCCCTCAGAAGTGTACTTTATTGATCTGCCTGTTCTGCTCCCCACTCTGTCTCTGGTGAATCCTCTCACCACCCCTGTACCTCCTCTGGCCTTTACCCAGGATTCTGTATGCATAAATAAATAAATCTTTATAAAAAAATATTCCATTGCTGCAAACAACCAAAATTCTAGAATAGGGTTTCAGAGGTGAAAGTCCAGGGTAGGAAATTCTTTGGCAATTTGTGCTTCAAAGAAAAGCTCTTGATTTGGATTGTGGTTTGTAGTGTTTTGGGGAAAATCTAGGAATTGTTAAGTGGTATAGGAAAGTTTAATAGAAAACTATTCACCAAACCCTGAGAGAGTAGGTAAAATGAACAGTTATTAATATGTGGACCCCTTTTTGCTTAGCTAAGCTTTGTCTGCCTGCCCAAAAATTCCATCTCTTCAGGGATGTTTCTGACATCTAAATCTGGGAATGGGTTCCCACCTGGATATCCCCAGCATCTGATGGCTATCCCCATCATCACTTTGTGATAGTTTATAATTATCTCTTTATTACTGTGTCTCAAATAGACTGTAAGTTCCTTGAAGATAGGAACTTTATCTTTTATTTTTCCCCTGCATGTAGCATAGGTTTGAACTAATGTGGACATTATAAAGATTATTAGTTAGCTCTTTGGCAGAAACACAGAGGGGCAGATATTTAGTCAAATAATAACTTGCATTTCTTAAGTACTGTGGGGTCTGTTTGTCTCTTCTGGACTTTAGGGGTTCACCCTTGGGGTTCACCCTTAGCCAATGTATCCTCTGGGTGGTAGATTTGTCCTAATCCGTGGAACTGGCATTGTTAACTCTCCCAGTTGACTGCTGCCTAATCTTCTGTGGAAGAGACTATCAGATGCAATCCAGGTACTTTGTTCCCTCTGTACATTTTGGGGATGACAGAACTTCTTCTATGGGCTCTCCTGTGAACCTCCCTGGCATGGTGCACAGTTGACTCAATGTGATCAGTATTTAGTTAGTGTCTGTTGGGTCCTTTAATCCAACATTTTGTCTCTTTCTTCCTAGATCCTCTCTCCAATTTAGTCCCACTGTTTCTTTGGTCTTACCTTTTATTCTTACCCAAGGGCAGCCAGAAATAGCCTGGCCTTGACATCCTAGAACAACTGTTTTGCTATTAGGCCTTTGGTTGCTCTGGTTAGTGCTGACTTGGGAAATGGCTGTGTCACCAGGTTTTGACCTCTAGTATTTCTTTGCATTCAGCATGTATTTTTTTTTTTTTTAATCATAGGCTGTAAGGTCAGGTAATGTTATGTCACAGCAAACGAGTAATCTCTCTTCCTGTTTAATCATCAGCCAAAGGTGTTTGAACAGTACTTGAATTTGGAGGATAGCAGATTGCTGAGTCATCTGAAAACCTGTTCTGCAGTGTCCAAGCTTCCCTATGAACTCTGGTTTAAGAGGTGCTTCTCAGGATGCTTGCCTGAATCCAGTTTGCAAAGGCAAGTATTTCTTTAAAGACATACTGAAGGCTTGGATTTGGAAAAGAATCCTGGTTTATCATGTGACCATCCTAGAGAATATCATTTTGTTTTATAACAATACAGTAACTAGAAGCTAACTTCTTTTAATAGCTGCTGACATAGCACATGATTCTGCCTATTACAGAAACAAAAACATTATAAGTATTATATTGATATTAGGAATGCTAAATATATGTATGTTTATGCAAATTTGAAAGCCATCAGTATGTTAGCTGTTGTTCAGAATTCAAATCTAAAATGATCTCCAAGAGCTATATAGACATGTGCTTTTATTTTCTAGAAATACGAGAGATATTAATCTAGAAAAAAAAATGGATATTTCTTAGATACATAATGACATCTAAAAGTTTATGAAGTCCTTAAAGATTTAAATCTCAAATGCAGCTTTTTTATTATCTTCAGACAATATGATGACTATTTTGGAATCCTAACCCTTCTCCCTAAGATTTGAAGATGCTGTTGAGAAGGACAGACAATGTTATGTGAATACATACTAAGTACATTGAGCATAATACCCACTTTAGGAGTTAAAGGTATTATCAGAATAGTTATTTTAGAATGGTTACAAATCAGGAATGAGCTCTCTTAAATTCTTGGAGAAGTTTAAGAAATTTGAAAGTGAGTGAATCTAATTTCATATATTTTTGTTGTTGTTCTTTAGTATGTGATGATTTCATTAGTACTATAAAAGTAAAGTCTAAACTTTTGTTTAGTTCTTTCTTTTATTCCCCAGAATGTCAGTTTTAGGGATGGGCATTTTGATGGATATCTAGCAGAGATGATCATTTAAAAAAATGTATTTATATTTGAGAAATTAAAAATTGCATGTTAGATAACTGGAGTTTTATTACTTTAGTTACATGTTCTATATTAGGTCTTTAGAGCTTATTCATTGTTAGTTTATAGTTGTGAGATTATTGGTTTATAACTCTTTCAGAGGCATATGCTCACACCTACTCAGATTTATGTCACCATACCACACCTATACCAAGGCACCCACATTTCTCTACCATAGTGCGTTGTGCCCCTTCATTCCTCTTTTCTTTCCCTGCTCCTTGTCTTGTATCCCTGACAGTTTCAGTCTTATTTTTAGTGTTTATTGTTTATTGGTTTGCTTTTGTCTGATGCTTTGTCTTGCTTTTTGTTTCTCTGTATTCCACATACAGGTGAAATTATCTGGTGTTTGTTTTTCTCTTTCTAAATTATTTCACTTAGCATTTTCCACTACAGTTGCATTCATGTTGCAAATAGCAAGAGCTCATAGATCATGTTTTATAGCTGTATAGTATTCCACTGTACACCATTGTGTGTGTATGTATGTACATATATACCTACATATACACACATGCCACATTTTCCTAATTTACTCATCTGTCCTTGCATACTTAGGCTGTTTCCATAACTTGTCTATTTTAATTTTTTTAAAGATTTATTTATTTATGCATATAAGAACTGGGATACAGGTCAGAGGCACAGGAGATGAGAGGTTTCACCAGAGACAGAGCAGCAAGCTGAACAGGCAGATTGACTGAAATACACTGCTGAAGGGAGCAGTGGGCAGGTCGGGAGAGGTCTGTTTAGACATGTGGGTCCTCTCTAACCAGGGATCGAACTCATGCTGTAGTGGCTGCAGCTATCTTCTTAACACTATTGCACCAACAGGGAGGGTCAACTTGGCTATTTTAAACATTGCTGCAGTGAATATAGTGCATATATCTCTTTAAATTTATGATTTTGTATTCTTCACGTAGATAGGAGTATAATTGTTATTTCATATAATACTAATATTCTGAGAAACTTCTATACTGTTTTTCATAAGAGTTGGGCCAGTCTACATTCCCACCAACAGTGTACAAGGCTTCCTTATTCCCGCATTGTTGCCAACACTTGTTTTTGGTCCTTATGATATGGGCCATTCTCATATCACTCCTTAATGATAAGTGATAATGAACATTTTTTCATATGAATATCTTCTTTGGAGAAGTGCCTATATAGATTGTGTACCTATCTGTTGATTGGTCTATTTTATTCCTTTTGTTAACTTGTATCAGTTCTTTATATACTTTGGTTATCAGTCCTTTGTCAGATGTATGATGTGTAAATACTTTCTCTCATTTACTAAGGTGTCTTTGTTTTACTGGTAGTGTCTTTCATTGTGCAAAAGCTTTTTAGTTTAATATAGCCACATTTTTTATATTCACTTTTGTTTCTCTTCCCGTTGGAGATTATTCCACAAAGAAATTATTGAAGCCAACATTGTTGTGGAGTATTTTGCCAATGTTTTCTTCCGTGGCATTTCATATATTTCATACCTTCATATATTTAATACATTTTGTGTTTATTCATTTTGTGAGGTGGTAATATAGTTTTATTCTTTTGCATATGGCTGTCCAGTTTTCCCAACACTACTTGCAGAAACAGCTCCCCTTTCTCCAGCATATACTTTTGAATACTTTGTTGTAGATTAATTGTCCATAGATATGTGGGTTTATTCTAGGCTCCCAAATCTATTCTATTGGTCTTTGTGTCAGTTTAGTTCCATCACTGTACCGTTTTGAAGTGTCAGAGTGTGATACCATCACTTTCTGTTTTTGTCAGGATTGCATTTGTTGTTAAGGATTGCTTTGGCTATTTGTTGTATGATTACACGTGAATTTCAATAATGCTTATTCTGTTTCTTTGAAGAATACTTTGGCACCATGATAAGGATTGCATTACATATGTGCATTGGTTTGGATAGGATGCCCTTTTTTTTTTAAGACTTATTTATTTATTCATACAGAACTGGGGTACAGGCCAGAGTTGCAGGGGCAGTGAGAGGATTCACCAGAGACAGAGTGGGGAGCAGAACAGGCAGATCAACGAAGTATACTGCTGAGGGGAACAGTGGGCGGGTCAGGAGAGGTCTGCCGCGCCATGTGGTCACCTCCGGGACAGGCGGGGATCGAACTCATGTGGAAGTGGCTTTCGATTCTTAGTGCTGTGCTTTAACCCGCTGGGCCACCAGGGAGGGCCACAATGCCCATTTTTATAATGTTTATTTTATCCATTCATGGGCAGCAAATAACTTTTCATTTCCTAGCTTTGTGTTTTTTAAACTATGTCTTAGAGTTTTCATTGCCCTTCACCACCTTTGCTAAGTTTATTCCTAGTTACATAATTATTTTCAATGTGAGTGTGAATATTTTTTTTCTTGATTTATTTCTCTTCTAGCTCATTATTTGTATATAGAAGTATAATCAATATCTGTGAGCTGATTTTGTAGCCTGTCCCTTTACTGTATTGATCTTATTATTTTTTTTAAATTTAGTGTAATTTTCAGGATTCTACTTATTAGAAATGTCTCTTTTCTTAGTCTAAATGTCTAAGGTATGTCTCTTTTGTTGATTTTTTTTTTTTTTTTTTAGAAAGAGCCAGCTTTTTGTCTCTCTGATTCTTTGGACTGTCTTTTTTTATTTCTAGCTTGTTTATTTCTGTTCTAACTTTTATTGTTTCTTTACTTCTGCTAGATACTGGTTTTGTGTGTTCTTTAAGATGAGAGGTAAAGTTGATTATTTAAGCTCTTGCTTATTTCTTGATATATGCCTGTATTGCTATATACTCTTAGTACTGCTTTTGCTGCGTCACATAGATTTATACATGGATATGGTGGCCATTGTGTATTGTTCACTTTCCAACTCTTAGAGGTTTCTCTTGCCTTTTTTTGGTGGTTAATTACTCCTTTGATAATCATTGTGATAATGTAATATATTTGATATGATTTGAATCTTAATGAATTTATTGATATTGTTTTGTGACTCAATATGGTGTCTATCTCAGACAATATTCCAAGGTTACTTGAGAACGAAGTGTTCTCACTTTCACTGGCACTTGATCTATTAAACCCATATGGTCTAAGTCCTTGCTTCAATAGTTTCCCCTGTTGATTTTCTGTATTGTTGATGGTCCATTGGTGAACGTTATTGAAATCTCCTACTATTGTTATTGCATGCCTGATTTCAGATTTGATAACCTTTGCTTATGTGTTTTTGATGCACCATATTTCCCTTTAGTCATTAATGTAATTCATTTCAGGGATCACATTTCAGTAATCCTACCTTTCTTCCTGCCAATGTTTGATGGTGTTGAAATAGACTTTAGATGGTTGACTTTTTATTGTGGGGTAGGGGGAGGGAGTATTATTACTTTATAGTTCTTTCCTGAAGTTTATATTTAAAATGTAAGGGGTAATACATTCTTTTGTGTTTGAGATAGCTTGGTAAACTGGTTTCAAGCATATAAAATCTATCTGTGTCTCCATTTTTACAGAGTTTGGGATAAAGTTGTAAGTGGATCCTGTAAGATTCTAGTTTTTGTAGCTGTCGAAATTTTATTAACCTTTAAGATAAAAGTAATGGCACTGAACAGTGCAGAGAAGATAACAAAGTTTCTGGAAAATGTAAGTGTGCTTTATTTGATTTGATTTTGACTCTAGAAATAAAAAGTCCATTTAGCTAGCCAGATCTTCCTATTGCATTGTTATTTCAGAGAAATAATGTTTTCACATTATAGCAAACAATGCTTTCCTTTGAAAATGTTTAACATAGTTGGTTAATAAGTTATAGTTGGCATCCTGTTTGGGGGTTTGAGCCAGGGACTCACGGTGATTGTGCATTTAGGGTCAGGTTATCCTAGGATAACCTATGGGACTACAGGAAAAAAAGGGGGAGACTTACCACTTTGGGGTGAGTGATCTTTGCTAGTGGAAAATGAAGCCTGGTATTTTTGGAGATTTTTGTAAGCCTTTTCATTTATGTTACTGTCTCTGATGGAGTCTCTGTTGATTTTATCAATGTGTTTAATTATAACTTTGTATGCATTGAAAGAGGCCTAAACATATCAGCTTTTCCTTTGCTTTAGAATATTTTTAAACTGAGGAGAATATTTAGAATATTTTTAAACAGAGGAGAAGGTGAAGGTATCTATTTCTGAAGGAATTTCATTGGACCCCAAAATTTAGTCTTTTTTAAATTTTAAGCAGTGGCCTGATAAAGAAAAAAGCAGTAAGTAAATGTGTATTGAATTTATAATTGTAATAATTAGTGTTAATAGTGCTAGAATCTGTGCAGATGTTTTTCACAAATGATCTCATGCTATCCGATAAACATGCTATCCTAGAGGTGGGATCTGAGCCGAGGTAGTAACCTTCCCTGGGATACATACAGTTAGTGAGAGTGCAAGATTTTAAACAGTCTGACACCAGAGTTCCTCAAGTAACAACTTTTGAAAAATAATGAAGACTCCAGTAGAAATACATTTTATGTGATAGTGAGTGAGGGAGATAGTAAAGCTGTAAAATGGAAATTTCATGAAATCTGGTTTGCTTTTCAGATTCCCCAAGACAGCTCAGATGCGATTGTGAGCAAGGCTATTGACTTGTGGCACAAACACTGTGGGACTCCAATACATTCCTCCTGAACATACCTGATGGTTGTGGTCAGTCAGCAGGCCTTACCTGAATTTTTTCTTTGTGAACATATTCTACTAAACTGAGTAAAATAGAGTTCTTGCTTTGGTGCTCAAAGTATATATTTTTTATTGCCAGTAAAATTATTGAATTAAGCTACCTGTTGTTGCTGTGTTCTGGAGCAACATCTCTTGATCACACAGAAGTAGTGTTTGAATGGCATGTTAAGAGTTGTTTGAAATCTACTCCCTATTTTTAAAGCAGTTCTATCAGGGTAGGTGGGTGCTGTGATAAGCAGTGCTTCTCTGTAATTCATACCAAGCTAGTTACTTCTAAGGTTTATTTCTGGAATAAAGAACAACTCCCTTTTGTTGACAACTCAGATTCAGTGTTTGTTGATGCAGTGCTTTTTTAAATCTCTAACCCTGATGCTTTCTGGGTGCTTCTCCTGCTAAATAGTTTTATATAAAGACCTAAGATTTTTTTTTCCCTTTTTTTTTGTGCCACTTGAAATGAAACAGTTATTGAACAAAATATCTAAAGTTTCCTACTAGGAGAAAAAGTACTTGTTGCATTTTGCTGGACTCATGTTTTTTTTCTGATGGGTCATTAAATGTTGGGTGGACTTAAGGGGACATTCTGCCACCCAGGCTAGAAATGAGAGAAATGGCAGGTTAGGGATAGTATCTGATGATCCTCAGGCCATCCTGTGCCTGTAATTGTCATTATTCATTGCACAATTGCAGGCTTTGAGACTGGTGAAACAGGGCCCTCCTGGAAGACTGATTCAGCTGTGAGACTTGCAGGAGCCTGGGTGGCAAGTTGGATTCTCCACCACACCCTCAAGAGATGAAGGAGGCAATGAAATTATAGAATTACAATTTTACAATTCTGAGAATTCAGTCCCTCCCTAATGTAGAAAGTGTCTGCTGAGAAAAAAGTGCAGAGCAAACTGAGTTGTTGAAACCAGCTGTTTTGAACAGTTGGGTATTTAATTTTTTTTTAATAAAATATAGTCAGAAGGAAACTTCTTAAAGCTGGTTACAGTTAATACTTTAAAATATGGCCCTCCCTGGTGGCACAGCGGGTTAAAGCGCAGCACGGAGAAACTAAAGCCACTTCCGCATGAGTTCGATTCCCGCCTGTCCCGGAGGTGACCACATGGTGTGGCCCACCTCTCCTGGCCCGCCCGCTGCTCCCCTCAGCAGTGTACTTCATAGATCTGCCTGTTCCTCTCCCCACTCTGTCTCTGGTGAAGCCTCTCGCCGCCCCTGAGCCTCTGGCCTATACCCCAGTTCTGAATGCACAAATAAATAAATCTTTAAAAAAAAATACTTTCAAATATAATTTGTGGCTAACCATCCTTTAAGTATCACATCTGCCCCTGAAAAATTTTAAGTCCACTTGGAGATATAAGAAAAATGTATGATAAGGAATCCCTGCTCCCCTTGTCTGCTATCTAGTGATCTTGGGAGATAGGTGAAATTCACAGAGAAGTCATGAAACAAAAATAATTTTATTTTAATTCCTGAGTCACATAAATTGAGTTTTTTCTATAAAACAGATGATGTTACTGAATTCCAACTCCAAAAAGGGAGAAATGAAGAATTAGCAGTTTTTGGACAAATAAGAATTTCATAGTATGTTCTCCTCTTTGCTTACTTCATAAATGGAGCTTCAGAGCAAGTGGGGTAGGGGGACAAGTTAGGGTAAGTGACAGGGATCCTTGGACTCTTGGGAAGGCTTAGGTGGTTGAAGTTGTATTCATAGTTTTTGGGGGAACCAGATGACCTTCAAGGGAGTACTATTATTCCTATGCTGTGAAGGGATTGAAAACCACTTGTTCTGTGAGAGTTTTCTGTCAGACCAGTTTGGTAGACCCTTTCTGGCTATAGGCAGTGGGCAGGGATTTATTTTTAAAGTGCGTCAATCTGTTACCATCAACAGACTTTTTAAGGCCCACTGTGAGGATCTGATTTCATTTTAATACTAGAATTTTATTTTGCTGTGAGCCAAATATTTTGAAAATGTTTTTGCCCATTGTCTTTGGGAAAGAAAAGCACAGCTCCTGATGAAAGGATCCCCATGTTCTCTTCATTCAAACCGTTTTTTTTTTTCAAGATACTGAAGAAATTTTCCTTGATGTTAAAGCCTAGCTGGGGATTCTGTTGTGGTGACATTGTCATACCTAATGTGTGGGGTTCTCCTCCTCCCTTGGAAAGCTAGGACTTGGCACGAATAAACTTAATTTTCTTCTACAGTGTCTTCATAAGATTCTCAGTCTTGCTCTGTAGGAAGCTATTAGGGGCCAAGGTGAGTTGGGGTGGCTTTTACCTGCTGACAAAAGAGGACAAACAGGTGTGTGTGATGCAGGTGTGTGTCTGCAGATGCTTCAAAAAACACAGTCACAACAAACTGGGTTTTTGATTAATGGAAAGTTTGCCTGGAAATTGTGGGGCCGTACTCAAAGTACATGATGTAAGAAAGCTATGAAAGCCACAGTCCTCTGGTCCTCAGTGTGAGATGTGCTTACCTGTCTTGAATTCTTAAGAATCCTTATTTGGCCCCAACCTGTCACCTGTGATCACCTCCTTACTGTGACTTGAGCTTTTAGTTTTCCTCCCTGAAAGTTAAGAGTTTGCACACATTAGGTATGACAGTGTCATCACAACAGAATCCCCAGCTAGGCTTTAACATCAAGGAAAATTTCTTCAGCATCCACACCCCCCCCCCCCACCCCAGGAGTTGCTCCTGTATGGCCACCTAGCACAGGGAAGACCATGATTGCCAGGGCTCTTGCCACCGAGGTTGGCGCTGCTGTCTTTGTCATTAATGGCCCTGAGATTCTAAGCAAATACTATGGGGAGATAGAAGCAAGGTTACAGCCAGATATTTGCTGAAGCCGCTCTGCGGCACTCGTCAATTACCTTTATCAATGAGCTGGATGCACTTTGCCCTAAAAGAGAAGGGACCCAGAATGAAGTGGAAAAAAGAGTAGTGGCCTCACACTCTTTTTATTTTTTTTAAAGATTTATTTATACATACAGAGATGGGGTACAGGCCAGAGATGCAGGGGTGGCGAGAAACAGAGTGTTGACCAGAACAGGTAGACTGACGAAGTACACTGCTGAGGGGAGCAGCAGGTGGGTCAGGAGAGGTCTGCCATGCCATGTGGATCACCTCCAGGGCAGGCGGGAAACAAATTCATGCGAAATTGGCTTAAGCTTCTTAGTGCTGTGCTTTAAGCCGCTGAGCCACCAGGGAGGACCCGTGGCCTCACTCTTTTAACACCGATGGTCAGCATGGGCACCTAAGGAAATGAAGGACGTGTGCTGATTCTCGGGGCCACGAATCACCCCCCGCCTGGACACCGCCCTCCGGAGACTGGGACGCTTAGATAAGGAGATTGAGATTGACGTCTCAGACGCCCAGGGCTGGCTGGACATCCTGCAAAAGCTGCTGTGGCATGTGCCACACGTGATCCACAGGGCCAAACTGCTGCAGCTGGCCCGCGGTGCACCTGGGTGCACACGGCTACGTTGGGGCTGACCTGGGGGCCTGGTGCCACAAAGCAGGTCTCATCTGTGCCTTGCGGAGAGTCCTAAGGAAACAGCCAAACATGCCTGACAGCAAGATAGCTGGGGCCTGTGAGGGTCATTCTGGACAACTTCCTGCAAGCAAGATCAGGCCCAGCACCATGCGGGAAGTGGCGATCAGTGTCCCAAACGTGTCCTGGTCACACACAGGAGGGCTGGAGACCATCAAGCTGAAGCTGAAGCAGGGAATGGCCCCTGCTGCAGTATCCAGAGCCCTTCATGCGCATGCGCTTCCAGCTGCCCAGGGGTGGCATCCTGTATATGGCCCCCAAGGCTGCTCCGAGACCATGATCGCGAAGGCCCTGGCCCATGAGAGCAGGCTCAACTTCCTGGAGGTCAAGGGGCCTGAATTAATGAACAAGTACATTGGTGAGTCCCAGCGAGCCATCAGAGAAATCTTCTGCAAAGCGAGAGCAGTGGCTCCTTCCATCATCATCTTTGATGAGCTCGATACCTTAGCAGTCGAAAGGGGCAGTTCTTCATGTGCTGGCAACGTGGCTGACCAGGTTTTGGCGCAAATCTTGACAGAGATGGACGGCGTTGAGCAGTTGAAGAAGGTGTTGGTTCTAGCTGCCACCAACTTCCCAGATCGCGTAGATGAGGCCCTGCTGAGGCCTGGATCATCTACAGGATCATCTACGTGCCCCTGCTGGATGCAGCTGCAGCTGTGTGCCATGCCCATCAATGGCGAGGTGGACCTGGACAAGCTGGTGCGCCTGACGGATACCTACTCAGGAGCGGAGGTGGTGGCCGTGTGCCGGTAGGTTGCCCCACTGGCCCTGGAGCAGGACATCTGGGCCGACAGCATCCAGCCGAGGCACTTCAAGTGCCCTGAGCACCATCAGGCCCCGTGTTCCCGAGTTGCCAAGGCGCTTCTACAAGGACTACCAGGTGCAGAGCGGGCTGCACACCCTGCCCACCTGCAGGGCCAGCGCAAGTTTGATAGGCCAAAGCGGAGCAGTGTTTCTCATGGTGGAAAGGCCATGCACTCGGGCTTGAGGCTTACACAGAGCTGGGGGCCACCCGCTTGCTCCCAAGCCTGCACCCCACCCCAGTGCCTTCCCTCCCCGTTCCCACCCCTGGGTGCCGCTCAGCCCTGGGCAGCAGTGAGTGGCCAGGGCGGGGCCGTGCCTTGGTACTCAGATGCTCTTTGGAGGCATGAGTGTTGTCAGCCCCCAGCAGTTTTTAATAAAACCTTCGGTGCCCATGTTTCAAAAATATAAATAAAAAATGTACAGTTGAGGCTCAGATGATTCAGAGAAATGTTAGAAATACTTCAAGATGCATGGTTCTTTAATGGCATTACAGGGTGAGGTGGGGAAGTGGCTGAGTCTCTGCACCTCCCATTAGTTCAGTGACCCCAGTGTATATCTTGGTTGCTACAATTTGTTATACTCTATTTGTTATACTCTTTACCCCTCAACATGTTTGTGAGCCTCCATGAGCTTAAGGTGAAATAACTTGAGGAAGTGAGGAACTCCATGGGTCATTGTTTTTAATACTATGGTTTGCTACCATGTGGCCAGGCTTTTGGGTGTATGTGATGTGTAGGGCTAGCTTGGCCCATTCCAAAGTCTAGTCAGCTCCCAAAGTGGAAGGGCAGCCCCCTTCCTTTGGAGCATCGGTGACATTTCAGGCACCACTTATTTAGCAACAGCTTGTTCGGATGTCTTTCTTTTGTTCGGATGTCTTTCTTTTGATCATAAACTTTTATTGACCTTTCTATCTGCTTTTTTTTTTCTTTTTTTTTTTTCCTAAAATGCAACTGTTGGTGGCCAGGGTCTTGCTGGTTCCTTTTCCACATTCTGCTTTACTGGAAGCCAGACCCATCTTTGGCCATGCTGCCATCTTTGCCAGAAACATCCCCTGGCAATGGGGCTACATCTTCTCTTCTCTTAAAACTCTGCTCAAGTATCACCTCCTCCAGAAAGCTCTCCTGGCTCTCAGATCTTCTGTTCAGGTTTCTTTCCTTCCATGGTGCCCTTTCTGTCACATTAACTGTTTGGCTTAGAATAACCTACTTATTTTACATACTAGCTCCTTGGGAGTAGAGATCTTGTCTTACTCTATTTTTCTTTCCCTCAGTGACAAACACTTCTCCAGGCTCTCCTGGGCCACTCATGTGGCTCAAGAATTTGAATAC